TTCTCCCTGCACTGCACATATCTATTTCTCATAAGTGCACTCTGTTGGCATAATTTTCTTTTCCTTCCTGCAGGCCTGTTTATGAGATGATCCATCAGGTTGTCTCAGAGTCCCCATCCAGCCCTTCAGCAACCGGAAGCGTTCCAGGTGAGCCTTGAGCTGCAGCCCACCGCCTCTCCCCATGGGGGAGGGGAAGGCCAGGGTTGATCAGGGAGGCAGCAGTCATCCACCGAAGAGACAGTGGGCTCTGCCTGTAATATGTCCTGGGGGCCAGACTGAGCCCTCATTATAAATGCTGCTGCTTTTTAAAATAGGGGTGTGCCACTAAAGGGAAGAAAACATTCCTAACCCCATAGATTTGAGCTCAACCTACTCTAGACCCATAGATTTGAGCTCAATCTAAATTCCTCAATGCAGTTTTCAGTTCTCTACCAGGAAACTATCCTCAGTCTGGGAACATCCAATGCAGGAAGCATGTCTTAATGCATGCAACATGCCCATGTGTGTAGAATGTGTCATGATGCCGATGACAAGTCATGACAGTCACAAATGTTGGAAATAGTGGCCAAGCCAGAAATTGGCCTGCAGTATGAGGTCTGAAGCAAGACTCCCAGTTCAGGCAAAGGTGATGGACAAGTCATGGAAGAGAGAGAGAGGGACTTCTTCTTTTTGTTTAGTGGCCTTTTCTGCTCCATTCCAAACCTGGCTAAGGTACCAAGAGTCCAACTGTGCCAGGATGAACCAGCGAGGGCAACAAGAACAAGGTGGAGGCAGACCCTCCATCTGTCATGGAAACCATTGGCATTGTAGGGTCACTGACTCCCCAAATGGCACTGGCCCCATGGCATGGGAGAGGGCTTATTACCAGAAAGGATCCCAGTGGGAAATCAGGGGATTCGGTAAGTGTTTGGAGCACTTTGGTTCCAAAAGCAGTATGTGTGTTCTGCTCTTTGAATAATCAGATAATAGCCCCTGATGATTGCTCTCACTACTGACTTTGGCAAAGAAGGTTGATTATGGGATGAGTTGCTGAAGCAGGTGGCTGACCTGGAGACCAAGAGAATTCTGAGATGACTAAACAGCAAACTCAAATTCCCAGGAAGCAATGAATTAATGGAATCGTCATTTATTCAGAAAATAAGTGAAGTGCCACTGCAGTGCCAGGTATCGTGATCTTCCACTTTTTTGAGAAACCCAACCAGCTCTCTTAAACTCTCTAGTAAATCATAAATTCTTTAAGAATCAAAAACAGTGTTGCTCTTGTTTTTGGATGACATATAGCTCTTAGATAAGATCTATCTAGGTTTTCATTCAAGTCTTTCAATTGTCATTTTGTCACTTAGTAGCTGTGTGAATTGAGTTTTTACAGAACTTCCCTGAGCTACCCAGTTTTCTCATTCATAAAGCAGGATATGTGCCTGCCTATCATACAGGGTTGCTGTGAGTATTAAAGAGAGTGTGGGAAAATCTTCAGCACTTTGATTGACTTTCAGTACAGCCACATGTGAGAGGTATGAATATGTACCCCCAAAGAAAGTGGAGCCCCAGTGAAGTTAAGCATCTGCACCTTAGATGGTGCAGTTGGTTGGAGGGAGCCATGCTCTCCCAGGGCCAGAGGCTTATAGCCTGTGCAGGCACAGACCTGGGCATGGTGGGAACACAGCCACTCCCAAGGGAGCACAGGGGAGCTGAGGGAAGCTCAAACACTAGTGGGACTGTGAGTCAGGGAGGTAAGCAAGAGGTCAGCTGTAGGCCTTTGAGCCAGGTCTCCTACAAGGCTTCTCAAGTCAAAGGGGCAAGTGCCCTCATGTCAGGACTTCACAAAGGAATGTTGATTAGTTAGCAGTCGATATCATTTTTCATGCCTTTTTAAGTTACAAAAAATTTTGTTGACTGAGTGCAAAGTAAAGGGACATTTGGTGGGTGTCCAAACATGGAGAGTTATCCTCAGTAACAATACTAACACTTAGCATTTGCCAAATGTGCCAGGCAAGATTATAGGCACTTTATAGTGTTTTAACTCACTTCATTTCAAAGCTTGGGGCTCCCTCTCCTGATGCATACATGTCCTAGGCCCCGGTTCTGAACCCCTAGACAAGGGACTCGGTGCCGGGGCATGGGCGTGAGGGAGGGAAGGAAGGCAGATTCCTGAGTGTGCGTGTGCACGTGCATGTGCATGCCAGATGGGTGAGTGCAAACACAAGGCCTTGAGAACAGAAAACAGGGAAACCACAGCACAGACACCAGGGGCAGGAGAAGCAGCCTGAGATGAGGAACCATTTGACACTGAGGGGAGCTGAGCGGCTCTAGAATGAGGCTGGGAGAGGCCCTGGCAGCTGTTGAGGGCAGTGCTATAGCCTGAAGCTTCCTGATCGGTCAGCTGGAGTGTGGCACGTGGGCAGCACTGGTTCATACACAGATTGCGGGCGGAAATTTCATTTCTGCAGCCATCCTCATGCTGTTCCTCCAAGGAGATCCCTCCTTATTTTTATAAAACATCCAGCACAGCAGTGTTCTGCACATTGTGGGGATCAAACCTTTGTTGACGTCAATTGACAGTCATTGTCTGTGAGGTTAGGGTACAGAGTGGGGCTGAGATTTGCCTGGAGCCTCTGTGGACGATCTGCTTCACCTTAAATTACACTCAGAACAGTAAATACTTTTAGAATGCATTTCACAGGAGCAGGACACTCATTTTAGTGTCCTGGACATGGTCCAAGGGATTGTAGTCTAAATTCTCCATTCACATGTTCATATTTCTAACATTGCCCAGGAAGGTAATTCCCAGGTTACAGTCGATTGTAAAGCATGAAATCAGAGCTCATTCTCAGCTCCACTACCGACTCCTTCTGTGGTCCTGGGTCCCTGAGCAAGCTATCTCCTGACTGCTCTCAGTTACTCCATCTGGGAAATGGAAATAATAAATTCCCTCTTGGAAACATGAAGATGGATTGGATTAGAGATGGTATTTTCAAAATGATTTCCCAGCTTGGTAAGAGAATGCTGCATATTTCTTAGACACTCACAGGAACAAACCACACACATGCAAAAGACATCTTCTTCCTCTGTAATTGAGAAGAATTACAGAACTCAAACCAGCAATCCATAGTTCTAATGTTTGAGAAGGCATGGCTAATAATCTAAAAAATTGGTCATTCCCAGCTAACATCAAGAGAGGGTAAATACTAGTGGAATCAGTTGGCTTTAGAAGAAGGCAGTAAAACCCCAAATAAAATAGCTCCTAAACCCTAGTCTTGGCTCTGGCTCAAATCCCCACACTAAAGCCTTAAAGTCTGATGAGTTGTCAGTGTTATTCTTGACACCAGCACCACGTTGCTATCCAGCAGGCCTTATAAAACTCTCAACCATGCACAAGCCCATTCCTGCTCCCCAAGCAGGGCAAGCATGCACTTTGTGCTCTTCTGGTGAGGCTAGGGCTTAACCAAGCTGGAAGCTCCGTGTAACATGGTCTTCCCAAAGATAAACTAAGGACCTGGTGCATTGTGGGTACTCAGTGATATCTGTCAGACTAATGAATAAATGTGCCTGCTCTGTGCAGCTGAAGGTTGGGCAGCTCCACTCACTCTCCCCTGAGAGAAGACATGACTGAGTGCAAAATAAAGGGACATTTGGTGGGTGTCCAAACATGAAGAGGGACCCTCAGTAACAATACTAACACTTAGCGTTTACCAAATGTGCCAGGCAAGATTACAGGCATTTTATAGTGTTTTAACTCACTTCATATTCACAACAGTCCTATGAGGTATATTGTATGATTCCCGATTTGTAGATGAAGTCACTGAAGTTCAAAGAAGATTTCAACTTCACGTCAGGATGCTGGGGGAGGTTATTTGAATACAGAGAGTCTTACAATGGATTCTGCCTCCTTAACTGCTCAGTTATAGTGCACTTGACCTGTAGCTTCTGCCAGGGAGCATCCTTCTAGAGAAGGAGAGTGATATGACTCCGTGTAGTGTGTCATAGTCTTCTCTGACCAGCTAGCATGAGAACAGAATGGAATGACACTGCTCAGCTTCATGACAGCCCAGGGAGTTGGGTCTGGTGTTTCTGTTTTTTAAGGGAAACTGCGATGCAGAACAATCAGGTGTCTTTGTCACTAGGCTCAGTGTGGCAGAACAGCAATCAGAAAGCAAGTCCGCTAGCCTCTGCCATGCAGCTTGGATCTCTGCAGTTCAGCCACCTGTGCCAGAGACACCCACCAAGGACACTTTGCAGCCCACTCTCATCAGGCTTCTTTGCCCAAAGGTGACAATCACTGACACCCTTGGTATTCAACTGATAAACTCCTACTATGAGTGAAGGACATCAGGCCCCAGGTAAAAAGCCAGAAATGGAAGAGACTTTAAGGAACTTTAATCCAACCCTTCATTTCACAAATGCAGATACGAGGCAGTTTGCTCAAGGTCCCAAGCCACCACGTAGCAGTGTGGGAAATGGGGCCCAGATCCCCTGTCAAGATGTCTCATCAGAGTAGCTTTTGCTACTCTGCCATGCTGGGCTGGGCAGTGGCGACAGATGGCCAAGGGCCTCTGTAACTGACTGGAGAGCCTGCCTGGCTCTAAGAAACCCTGCAGGTCTGTGTGCAGCCTACCCACTGCACCCTTGTGGCTCTCAGTTCATGGAAGGCAAGCCCTGCCATGTGGGGTAAGGCACCTGGCCTTCAGGATTCTCCCCAGGCCTGTGTATAAAAATGATCCTCAGCAAGCCATCCGTCCTGACCCTCCCCCTCCCCCTCCTCCCCGAAACTTAATTAATCATGTTTGCATCTGGATCCAGACAAGACAATAGCAGAGATGTGTTTTTGGTTAGGAACTGAAGCTGCATTCACAAAGGAATGTTGATTAGTTAGCGGTCGGTATCATTTTTCATGCCTTTTTAAGTTGCAAAAAATTTTAATATCAAAGCATTTCTCCCTGCACTGCACATATCTATTTCTCATAAGTGCACTCTGTTGGCATAATTTTCTTTTCCTTCCTGCAGGCCTGTTTATGAGATGATCCATCAGGTTGTCTCAGAGTCCCCATCCAGCCCTTCAGCAACCGGAAGCGTTCCAGGTGAGCCTTGAGCTGCAGCCCACCGCCTCTCCCCATGGGGGAGGGGAAGGCCAGGGTTGATCAGGGAGGCAGCAGTCATCCACCGAAGAGACAGTGGGCTCTGCCTGTAATATGTCCTGGGGGCCAGACTGAGCCCTCATTATAAATGCTGCTGCTTTTTAAAATAGGGGTGTGCCACTAAAGGGAAGAAAACATTCCTAACCCCATAGATTTGAGCTCAACCTACTCTAGACCCATAGATTTGAGCTCAATCTAAATTCCTCAATGCAGTTTTCAGTTCTCTACCAGGAAACTATCCTCAGTCTGGGAACATCCAATGCAGGAAGCATGTCTTAATGCATGCAACATGCCCATGTGTGTAGAATGTGTCATGATGCCGATGACAAGTCATGACAGTCACAAATGTTGGAAATAGTGGCCAAGCCAGAAATTGGCCTGCAGTATGAGGTCTGAAGCAAGACTCCCAGTTCAGGCAAAGGTGATGGACAAGTCATGGAAGAGAGAGAGAGGGACTTCTTCTTTTTGTTTAGTGGCCTTTTCTGCTCCATTCCAAACCTGGCTAAGGTACCAAGAGTCCAACTGTGCCAGGATGAACCAGCGAGGGCAACAAGAACAAGGTGGAGGCAGACCCTCCATCTGTCATGGAAACCATTGGCATTGTAGGGTCACTGACTCCCCAAATGGCACTGGCCCCATGGCATGGGAGAGGGCTTATTACCAGAAAGGATCCCAGTGGGAAATCAGGGGATTCGGTAAGTGTTTGGAGCACTTTGGTTCCAAAAGCAGTATGTGTGTTCTGCTCTTTGAATAATCAGATAATAGCCCCTGATGATTGCTCTCACTACTGACTTTGGCAAAGAAGGTTGATTATGGGATGAGTTGCTGAAGCAGGTGGCTGACCTGGAGACCAAGAGAATTCTGAGATGACTAAACAGCAAACTCAAATTCCCAGGAAGCAATGAATTAATGGAATCGTCATTTATTCAGAAAATAAGTGAAGTGCCACTGCAGTGCCAGGTATCGTGATAGAGGTGGACTCCACGGAACCCATCTCCCTCCAGGCCTTCCCATGGGGGCTAGGCCTGACTTGATCTTATTCTTTGTCCCTCTACCCCCCAGGCCTCTTCCTACGATGCGAGCTTGGGGTTAGACAGGCACTAAGGCAGATGTTTAGTTGTAGCCGGCCTCAACTCTAGGGAAAATTTTAGTATGTCCATTTTTCTACTCAGAGACACAGATGGTGTGAAGTAGGGGTCTTCAAACTACAGCCCCTTGGACAGATCTGGTCTGTGGCTTATTTTGGTAAATAGTTTTATTGGAACAGAGCAGCACATGGTCTTTATAGTATTGTCTCCTTGGCTGCTTATGCTGCTTTTATACTGAAAGAGTTGAGTAGCTGAGAGAGAGGCTGTAGAGAGCCCAGAAATCCTATATAGTTATAATCTGGCCCTGCTACAAAAGGTTTTTTGCCTCCATGTAGAGAATCAATGGTCCAATAGGAAGTGTACTCAGATTTCCTGATGTGTCCTCCAAGACCCAAACCACAACTGGCTTCCTCATTAGAAAGTTCTTTTGTTTTAATATTTTTAATCTTTGTGATTCCTGCCCCCTGAAAAATGTCTAAAATACTAAATGGCTATGATAGAAAGCAAAGAAGGATAAGCATCTTGAAATCTGACTGAACAATGTAAATTAAAAACCAGGGGAAGACTGAAGGCTCTTGAGTCTCATGGGGCCCGATCTAAATTCAGAACTGTGACCCTCCTCAGTTACAGACTGAAGGCAAAGGGCAGACTCTGGGGTAGGTTTGTGTTGAATCTCAATGACTGTTGGTGGAACACACAACTGGGTAACTTACACTCATTTATTTTAGAATTTAAAAATATTTATTTATTGACTGATTGAATTTTACCACAGAGGTCCATAAGGCAAGTACAAACAAAATGAACATTTTGGATATTGTGATAATCTAAAAATGTCTTTGGGAAAAATTTAGGCATTATGTAAATACTGTTTTCTTATCACTTGGATAAAAACATAGATATTTTTGTGGGATGGCCGGGACTTTTGGACTGGGAACAGGTGAAGGACGAAGGTCAGAGGCATTCAGTTTCTTGCACAGGGTCATATCACCCTCAGTCTGGCCAACCCACACCTCCGCATCTCAGACATTCTACCCTACAGCTTTGCTTCTCTAGGGAAGCTTGGTGCCTTGGAAAGCTGGGCTCACAGTGTGGTCCTAGGATGCTTCTCATGGCTGGGTTCATGAAGATTCTCTCGGCTGCCCTCCCAGATGCCTGTGTCCTCAAATCACACATCAAGCCTTTCCCTTGACTCCTCTCCAGACCCTAGATCTTTTCTTTGCATTCTTGTTGGGATGCTAAATTAGAGTTGCCGAGTCTCCAAGAATATGCCAGAACTCAGTGTACCTTGGCCACCTTCTCTTGGATCACTGTCTTCTTGGACTGTACACACCATGGTCTGGAGGGCTGGGCTGTACAAAGATGGGGAGGGTCTCCATGTTCACACAACTCATGGAAGTCAAAGAGGAGGCATCATGTAAGGCTTCTGGGAAAATTTCCAAACTGACCTTGGGATCTGCAATAGAGTAAAAGAACACTGACAATTGTCACAGCTCCTGCTCAGCTCGGCCAAGCACAACAGACTCTACTGTGGGTCTGCCTGGTGACAAGCCCATGTGGAGTGTTGAATGTTGGGGAATCTGGGAGGAACAAGTCCCTGGCCTTGCTTTGGAGGGTCCCGGTGAGGACCACTGTCTGGTCCTGCTGGCTGAGGGGAGAATGTAGCCATGAAACCTGTGGCAGAAGCTCTCAGACAAGGCCAGAGTTCTGCTGGGCACCTGCAGACAAATCCTGTTGTCCAGTTATTCCTTACTTGTGCTTAAAACCCCTTCCAGCTGAAAGGTTTGAAATATTCCCCTATCCTCAATCTTGTAAAATGGATTGTCATTAGGAACATGAGGGGGTGGGCCTAGAATACCCAGATTATTGCTCAGTGAGAATTACATTTCCTTCACAAAAGCCCTGTGAGAGAAGCCACCCCATTCCTCTTTTATATAAGGGGAAAGTAATTCAGAAAGATTAACTGATGAGCCCCAAATAACACAGTTTAGAAATGGCAGAACCAAGAACCCCCTTGCTCTGGATCCCAGGTGTCCACAGTGAGCCCCAAGGGAGGCCTGGAAGGGGACAGCAGATCACAAAAGAGCAGCTTGAGGGCCGGGTCTTCCACACTGTTATGCAGGCTGACTCCTGTAGAAAAGACGGCCAACAGGGGCAACGAGTGGGGGCTGAAATTCAGCCTGTGCTTCTAAACCAAGTGCCCCAGAAAGGTATTGGGGCTCTGGGGAAGGGTCCCTTTTTCTAATATGCACCAGAGGGACACTGGGGCCTGGTGGTGACCTTCTTGTGGGTAGACATGTAGTGAGATCAGGTGTGGGAGGGACAGCAGACTCACCTCCTAGCTTGATGATGCGGGCAAGGCTATGGACTGATCTTGCACACCTACTTCATAGTATGACTTTTATTGTTGTAGCTTTACTGGCTTCATTTTTTTCTCTTTATTTATATGAAATCATCCAGTGGAACATTTACCCATAAAATGTTTTATCTAAGACCAAGGCAGGAGATGAGAAAAACAAAAACTGAGTGACAAGAATAAAGCATATTGTCAATTTAGACACTTAAAAAATTGTTGCAAATGCAATTTAGAGTTAGTCCATTTCCAAATATCCCAGCAGAATGGAACTGTAGGAAAGGATAACCAACAAATATTTCTTGATCATTATGGGTATTAAGCCTGTAGTCAAACTGAAGACAGGATAATTAGTGATAAAAGCACTGAATTCATCAAAATTATAAAACCTCTTTCACCCTTGTGGGGTCCAAATGCAGTTTAATCTCTTATTTTTCAAGTCCCTCTTCACCTACCTTGTGAACAGTAAATCCTGTGTCCTCTTCTTAGCCCCCATTCTCACCCTGAGTTGTCTGAGAATGTTGAGAACTTACACTGAAGATGTAAGACATAGAGTCTGATCACTTGGCTACTGCTTTTCGTCTTGTTGCCCTTGCTTATGCTTTAGAATGTGGAATCTCCCAGCTTAGAAGCTAACATGGGTTAGCCTGGTGGAATGTCATTAGTTGGTGGTGTCGAATGTGCCTATCCTGTTCATAGAGATTTTAAGTTCACATTGTCATGTTCAGCCACTTTTCCCCCTAGATGCAAGCACTATGCCAAGCAGGTGGTTCTAGAAAAACACCACGTTGTGTCAACATTGGACCTCCTCTGCATTTCTTTTGGCTATTGTATTGAGTTGGGATTATGAACCTGGGCTTCTCTTTTCCTTAAGTTTATTTCTGTGGCCCAGCTGTCCCTCTTGGTCCCTAGACCTTGGTTGGGAGCACCACCGTCTCAGGTCTTCTTGTTTTCAAATCTTGGGAAGCAGGAGTTGGGAGCCTTGGCATTTTCTCTCCCAGAAGGTTCTTGTGCTCCCTTTACATATTGATACACCTCCTCTTCAGGGATTAGCTTTGCAAGCTAGAGAATTTAAGGACTTGCAACCTTGCCCTGGTTTTCTTCTCTCCAAAGGGTTCTCTCATCTCCAAAGTTCAGAACATGGCAGGTCTCTGCATTTACATAACCAAGAAAGACCTTCAAATTACTTTTTTTTTTTCTCCCCTAGAGAAAAACTGAATCCTCTAGATGATCCGGAGTCTCTACTTGTAGACATAAGTGAAAGCAAATTTTATATTTGCCCTAACAGAAGCCCTGCTACATATACTAATATAATACTGTGGTGAATTGGATGACAGGGCCATCAGAGAACAGTGAAATCCATACCATTAGCGCACAGCCTCATCCTCAGCATTCCCCTGCTCACCTCCTGTGACCCATCCACACCGGCCCCTGGCCCCTTTTTCTAGCTGCTTTCTAGTAATGTCATCCGTGAGAGCTGGGTTGGAACTTTACTTCCTAAATAAGTCATTGTCCTATCATATTCAGTGTATATTATTATCATTCCCATTTACCTGGGAGCAGATACAGGGAATTAAGTAACTTGCTTATGATGCCCCATCTAATGAGCTAGGTCCAGAATTCCACTCAGGTCAGACTCCAGCCCTGCGCTGCATTCCCCCGGGGCCGCATGTGATTACCAGAGAATCCAGACCTGTGGGCCCAGAGTGCCCCGCGGCTGCCGACCGCCCCCATCCCAGCCTTGCGCTGGGGGGCAGTGCAGAGGGCTCGCGGGCGGCCTCAGGGCGCACCCTCGCCCGGCTCAGGCTGCCAGCCGCTGGAGAGAAGGAGCTGGCGGGAGCCCAGAGAGGATCCCCCGCAAGAAATATATCGCGTGCTGACACTTTTATGACCCGGGCCCGCTTACAAAACACAGGCCGGTGCACAGCTCTGCTTTTCCTGCCCAGCTTGAGATCACATGCTCGCCCCGCGACTGCCACTTGGAGTCAGGAAAGCCCATATATTTTCCTCCTCAGATGGGACTAGTGGTTCTCGTCAGGTGCAGAAAGCCAATAAATCACCAGCGAGGTCTCGGTGTGTCTATCCGTCAGGAGGCTTGTCATCTTCCGGGCCTTGATCCACATGAAAGCCCGGCCGGCAGGGGCGGGGTGGGGCGGGTCCCAGGCCGACGCCTGCGGGGAGCGCGCTGGGGCCGCGCTGGGCTGTGCGCCTCCGCGCCGCCCGCTCGCGCTTCCTTTCGCTTTGATGGCCCGCCGCTCCGGAGTGGGGCGGGGACGCGGGCCTCCAGCCTGGGGGTTTTAATATTCACCTCACGTCCTCGCGGCAGCTACTTTGGGAGGAAAGAAAGCTACAAAGAAAGTTCCGGGCGACACCAGGGTGGCGGGGGTTCCCACACCGCAGGCAGCGAGTTGACATCCGTGCCAGACCCAGTGCGCCTGGCAGGAAACATGTTGAGAGGGGAGTGGGCAGAGGGTCCTCCAGGGTTAATCGGCCCCTTTCCCGTGTTCAGCTTCTTCCGGAAAGCAGGATAGTGGCTATCAGATGGAATCTGATGGACCTTGATTCAAATTCTACCTCTGCCACCTTCATTGTTTGGACTTTAGTAAATTTACTTATATTCTTCATTTTCTTCCTGTGTAAGTGGGAACACAAACACCTATCTCACAGCTGGTGTGGGAATTAAATGGGGCAATATGTGCAAATTGCTTTTCAGGGTACCACAAGTAAAATCATGAAAAATTATAGTTGCACCTTTTATTATTTTCCTCACCTATAAAATGCTGGTTTTGGACTTGATGCACTTCAGGGCCATTTCTTGCTGTAAGCTGTGCACCCTGTGCAGCTCAAGCGATGGGTCCTAGTGCTACTGACCCCTCCCACCCAGCCAGGCTCCTGCTCAGGCACCTGGGATGCCGGGCTCTCATGGTCACACTTACCCAGAGGCTCCAAGGGCCACATGTCTGGGAAGCCCCACTGCTTTGGATGAGTGCCGTACTTTGGCGGCGTGTGGAAGGCTCCTTCCATGTTCTCCTTACTTCTGTGGGAGGGGCACAGGATGCTGGATGGGCAACCCGTGGTCTCCCACTGAGAGCCTGAGCCATGGAGGGTAGCAGGGGAACCTCTCTTGGTCAAGGGCTCTTGGTCACATGGTCAGCTGTGCTCCATGGACTGGAACCCAGTGGTCTTTTCCCCCTTACGGCCATAACAACATGTTCACGTGCCACATTCACCAGGTAGAGGAGTGGATGCAGGAAGTTCCCTTCATGGGCTCCATTTCCCTTTTTCATCTCTCACTCAACAAATAGTTTTTGATCATCTCTCGTGTGAAAGCTACCAAGACCTGTCATTTAACCACTCCAGATCTCAGATTTTTCAATTGGAAATTCAGGGGCCAGGAATGCCAGTGTTTTTCAACATGGAGCTATCGGCAACAGGCCAGGACTGTCCTGCACCTAGAGAATGTTTAGCACCGGACATTAGATACCAGCAGAACCTGCAAGCTTTAGGACAATAAAAATGCCCTCACATTTCCAAAAACCCTGAGTGGAGAACCACTGGATGACCCATTTTCCTTCTAGTGCTAGCATTGTATCAGTTTAGTAGCCCTGGTTCTGGTACTAACTAATCACCTTGCTGTGACTTCAGACAAGCTGGTTAATTTTTTAAATAGTCTGTATTATGGGAACAATCAAACTTGTCATGTATTGTCTTTCACAGAGTTATTGTGAGGATATGATAAAAATAAAAAAATGTGAAAACACTAAAGTGATCTCTGAGGGTAAGATGCTATTATTATTATGTGAAAATGATGATACTAGTATCTTATTAATAGGTTCTAGGCATTGCATTACATCCATTTAATTCTAAAAGGATTCTCTCAGGTAAGTTTTATTATTTGCATTTTACATGTGAAGAAAACAGATGAAAAGGTAAGTGATTTTTCCAAGGCCATGCAGCTAGAATTTGAACCCGACTGCATGAATACAAAACTCATGCAGTAAATAATGTCCCCTATTTCCTGGTCAGAAAAGTTTTGTCCCCAGATCAGCACATTCTCCGGTCATGAACAAGAGAAGGAAGGAGAAGAAGGCAGTTGGTGATTGAAAGATGTCTTATGTCATTCTGCTTGCCTGCCTCCCTCGGTGTGACTCCATTGTTTTGTCTCTGTGCCTTGCCTTTCTGTGAGAATGAAGTCTGCTTAAGGTCACTTTAATCCTTTGTACATCCCATTGCTTCGCTACAGCTCTTGGTTCCTGCTCTCTGCTGTACACACCCACACATGCACACTCACCCAGAACTAGGGTTGCTGGATCTACCAAATAGAAATACAGCATGTCCTGTGGAATTCGAATTTCATATAAACTGATGTTTTTAAAATATAACTATGCCCCAAATATTGCACAGGACACATACTAAAGAAGTATTCATTTATAGGAAATTCAAGTGTAATTGGGTGTTATCAATTTTCTGACAACTCTGATCCATCATACCAATACTCCCCAGCCTTCAAGTCTGTAAAGCACAGATGGCCAGAGAGGAGCAGGGCTCTGTGACATGGGAAGAGACCCAAGAACATCAAAGTCTTTGCCTTAAGGGCATTCTCAGTCTAGCTGACAATATAGAAATCACCAAAGGTAGTTACTAGACACTTGCCTTCAGTCTCCAGCACCCTCTGGGAGTCATGCTGTACCCCTTCCTCTCCAGCCAACTGGCATCCACTCATTCACCTCTCCACCTGTCTCTTTCACATTCTGTCACTTTCATGCCCTTTCATCTTTAACTTTGGTCCATCTGCTCAACAGTTTGCATCTGAGGGACTGCAACAATCTCCTACCTTAGCTTCCTGTTTTTATTCTTAATTTTGAGTGTCCACCCTCCACACTGAAACCAGAGTAATCCAGCTTTCTTTTGAAGTAATGTGTTTCCTCTGATGATCATAGTAACCCATGTGCATTGTAGAAATATTAAAAAATATTTCAGGAGTGAAGAAAAAAATTACAATCTTCTCTCATTATTTCTCCACTCAAAATTTGTGCCAGGGTCTCATTTTTTACACAATAAGTCCAAAGCTCCTAGATGGAGTACTCAAGACCCCTTGTGATCTGGCTTTATTTGCTTCTCAGCTATGCCCGGCACAGTCTAACTTGCACCCCACCTCCAGCTAAACAATAATTTTCCAATTCCCTGAAATTGGACACCTTAGAGGACACCCAATCAGGACTTCATCTACTACCATGCTCTGTGTCCAGACCTTTGCAAAGCCTTCTTCTTCTTCCTGTAAGTGGCTTTTTCTACTACACATGAGCAAACTTCTATTTGTACTTCAGAACCCAGTTTCAGTGTTACTTCCTGGACCTTCACATCCCAAGGCAGACTTAGAAATAATTTCCTTAGTGCTCTTATAGTCACTGAGCTGTCACAGCCCTTGTAAATACCTTTCTTATGCATTTTGAGAAATAGTGTGCTGAAATTACTTATTTACACACATGTCATTCCATCTGAACTTTGAGGTCCTGAAAAGTGGAGGTTATGTATCTCTCTCTAATGCCTGTTAAATGCCTGACACAATTAGGAGCTCCATAAAATGTTTGTTAATCATTAATTAATGGAGCTCTTTCCTTTCCCACATGCTTCATGCATTCCACCTATGGCCTCATACAAATTATTGTACCAATGAAAAGCTGATTAAATGCTGCTACTACTTAACGCTTGCCAGTCCAAATAGATTATAAATGGTTGTAATCCTTCACAATGGCTATTTCAGGACTAAGCATAAGTACTTGTTGAGTGACTGATAATTTTCCCACAGATCAAGTAGAGGATGAGGCTCACAGGAAATTGTAGTATGTCCCAGTCAGGGTTCAGGGGCCTGCGGGTTCTACTCCCCGCTCTTCTGAGCTCTGTAAGTCACTATGGCTCACTGGGCCTTGTTGCCTTGCCTGTCTATAACGTGGGGGTGGGTCCAGGTGATCTCCGTCCTGGTCTTCTACATCTTTAAAGGGCAATGAGCTCACAATAATCTTATCAGCTATGCCTTGAACATCTTAGTGATGATGACTGACATTCAATAACTAAGTGCTCTCCATCAGTGCTCTCACTTGGTCCCCCAAAACCCTATTGGATGACTATTATTATTAGCCCTGTTTCATAGGTAATAAAACTAAAGCACAAAGAAGTTAAATGCCTTTCTTAAGATAATCAGTAAATGAAGAACTAGGTATGCACTCAGTAAATATGATTTCAGTCCTGGGTTCTTGAACAGAATGTCTCTAAAGTCCCACTTTGTTCCAAGTCTCTAAACTCATTACTGCAAAAACCTGAATTGCCAGCCTCTGTGACTCTGTTAGGCACCTGGGGTATGTAAGTCCTCTGCTGAGCTGGAGGGTTTCAGAGTTACACAAGCATGGCAGAGTGGGAGGAACTTGGACCTGTAGATCCACATAACTTGAAAATGAGCCCCAGCCCCATGACATGCCAGGCTGGGAACCCGGGCTCCTACAGTCAGTGAGTCAACTTTCTCCTCTCGAAAATCGTAATACTCCTAATCATGCCTGCTCCTCCCACCCCACAGCATTGTTCTGAGGATCAAAAGAACAAGGATATGTGAGAGTGCTTTGTAAATTACAAAGTGCCATACAAATATGAGTTATTATTATTTCCAGCTGGCGTTGTCTGGGACTACTTCAATGAGGGCATTATAAATGATTGATAAGACTTTATGTGGTATTTGTGCTTTAAGGGGGAACAAGCCTTAAGTCAAATGACTGAAACTCCTGTATGGAATGTTGGTTGCAGCATCCTAGACAGAGGGATTTGGGCGAGTGAATGGGGGGCAGGCGTGGGCCCAAATCCAAAATACCAGCTAGCTTAACTTAGACTCCTGGGTTAGGAATTGTTATTAAACATTTATTATTATTTAGTTATTCATTGAATAGGTCAAAGAAAGTTAGTAATAATATTAGCAAATATTTATTTCAATGCTTACCTGTATCAGGCATTGTTCTGAGTATTTTTTATGTAAATGTATTTAATTCATAGAGATGAACATGAATATGGGGAATATGACTATCCCCATTCTCCAAATGAGGAAAATAAGGCTCAGAGC